CCTATGTCAAGCCCTTCATGGAGTGTTTAAAGGTAAACGTATAAATTGCTTTTCAGGCTATTATCGACACAACAGATCTCTTTCCACCTTTTTTTCCTTATACTATAAAGCACAACTGCAAGCACAAATTGCTTTCAGGTACACAGATAAATTTAAGACTAACACAAGCTGACCAAAACTTTGTTTCCCCCTCCTTTGCTTCTCCCTCACAGGGAAGATTTATTCCACAGGCCATAAACAGGATGCAGCTGCCCTGTTCTGCTGGAGGAGCTGGAATCCTGAGTGCTTTTCAGCGGACGACAAAGAGCCAGCAATGCAGCGAAATCCGGCCTTCCCTCTCCAAATAATGAAGAAAGTTAACTCGTTCACTCACCACTTCGTCTTCTGACCAGCACTTCTCGATCAGCTTGGGCACTGGCTTCTTCACCAACCGCTGCAGGGCTTTCCCGGCATCATAGCTGCTCTCATGAAGCTGTGTGAAAGACGACAGAAATTCACATTAAATGTTAGCCCTTTTGGAAATGTATCTTTACAAGCTACTCATTACTTACAAGCTAATCATCTGTATGAATCTCAGCTAGAGAGACAATAATGTTTAAGAATAAGTGTTATTACTAAATGCTAATACAAGTTAACGCATTGAAAACACCACATCCAAGTGAACACTAATTTAACCTTAACCTCCTAAGTGCCACGCCCCTCTTTTTGAATAAAAATGAAAATGCACAATTCGAACTTAAATGGTTGTAATTCAAGAATGAATTATATATGTATAATTTGGAATATATATGTAAGATTGGTCTTGTTTTAAAGAAGACATTTGGCAGATTTTCATAGAAGAAATTAAGAAAGTGAAATGGAAAAAAGTTATAGAAGTTTGAGTTTATGAAAATGTAAAAAAATATTCCTATTTTATATAAAATATATTTTTTCAAAACCTGGTGGACTCTAAAACTGCAAGAAAATCAAAGTCAAAACTCTGAACAAGTTGTGTTTCAAATTTTTGGTTGATATCTCAAAAAATTAGCTCTCAGTAAGATTTGGTTGGGCGCAGTACCCAACTTTTTCACTAGGTTACAACCAGACTCCATTACTTCCCATATAAGTGCACCTCCATTTCCATATGTGTTTTGAGTGATCTGAACCATTATTTCCGGAATTTTCCTACAGTTTATGAAGTAGGCATCCAATTCAGAAGTAGTAAGGGAAGTTTGGCATATTTTGATATAAATTCAACCTCAATAATCACATACAAATAACACGCATGTGCTTTATAGCTTGGTGCCACATCACAAATAGAGAATCTATCATTTTTTTCTTTATATTTAAAACATTTTCTTTTTCTTTTTCTTAAAAAAAAACTGTGGTTTCTACCATTCTTTCATGATTTTCATGTTCATCACTATTTCAAAATAAAGGTCTTAACACGCTTTAGGAGTATGAAAATATTCTTGTTGCAAATTGATAGATTACGGCTCTTCTGTAATTTATTTTGACAATCACCAAAAAGATATATAATGTGTCAATATTAGTTTAAGATTAGTAAAGGATATTACTGTTTTAAATATGTAATTGCTATGGGCCCGTCGGCGGTGCAACTTTAGAGGCCAACTTGAGTCAAAAATACTCAAATCTAATAAAATCCTAAATGGAAAACCTCCTGATTTAACTGTTAAACTAAACACACTAATACAAAACTGAAGTTAGCAGTGTTGCAACTTTTAGTTAGTTACTCCGCAGTTTATTGTTACAATGTGATTGCAATCGACTCATTTTCCCCAGTGTAAGTACAGCCTGAACACTTTAACAGTGGTTGGATCTCTATAAACGTGAAAGATAGGGTGAGTTTGGACAGCTAGACTGGAAATCTGAAAGCCATTAAGTATTGAGCAGGCAGATGAGTGTGAACTTGAATAACCTAAAATATACTGCCAGTAGAGCAGCCACGCACGCCTCACGGATGATGCAGAAAAACACTTTAATATGACTCGGAACGTCCAGACAAGCTACTTATTATCACTAGCCGTTAACAATGGAGCGTTTTGTCTCAAAATGATGTCACTTACTATTTAAAGGCTTAAAGTGTCACACATTAGATGTGTTTACAAAAACATTTGAATGCAGAACAATATCCGGTTGAAGTGACGCAATCCTTTTTCCTGCACCACTGGAGACTTTGGCCGAATCAAAATACACATTTCAACATCAGCGATCATTACTAATATGGCTACAACAGAGCAGCTCGTCAAAGACAAACAGATACCTGACTGAGGCACGGGGCAGATCAAGCCGAAAGCACAATGGAATTGCAGATGAGTGGAAAAGGGTCAAGAAACTGTGAACCTCAGGTCACATTAATTCTCAGCTTATTCTCACTTCAAGTCAAAATGGAAAATTCATGTTTATTGCATTTCAGGTTAATTTGTCGAATGCTTTTTTAAAGGATAGGAGACAAACAGTGGAATTGGTTTCATAATGGATCACAAGTTGTCCGACATGGGCAGCATTAGCATAAGTGCTCTATGCTCTGTACTTGATCGGGTAACTTGTCCGTGTAGGAGCTGGTAAATTCAGCTTTGTAAAAAAAAAAGCTCAGCTGTCAGCGACCACTGTGTATTAATGAAGCCATGGATTACACCCCTCTTGTTCAGACATCTTACAATCGCAGACATCACTGAGGAGCTCTTCAACGCCAATTTACTAGCGTGTTTTGATGGCCCCTGGTGCCTGTGTCTTTCCCGAGGCGAGGCTGTGTTCAGAGAGCGGCAGCCTGTGGTGCACCGCTGAGAAGGTGAACAAATGTGAGTGAAAACGCTGAGGGATTTTTTTTTTCATCTTCTGACAATTAGGCATGAAGCCTGCTAGGGACATCTTACTTCACTGTTTCTCTCTGGTGCTGGGCGCTTAATTGGCCAAGACAAATTGGGTTTTAGCTGCTGTACTGAGCAAGTAGAGAAAAATTAGATGCAAAGAAGAGTCTACCATATACAGGCAGATGTGTCACACTTAAGTTACTTTGAAGGTCAGGAAAATGTGTCAAGACCACACACCAAACAATTAATGAAACTGGGAAATAAATCGAGCCACAAAACCCCTGTAATAATCTATTTAAAAAATAGGGTTGTTAAAACCTTCTCCTCATGAGCCTGAGTGATTAGTTATTTAGAAAATGGCTCTTACTGAAACGTGTGGTCTGTTAAATCACTACTGTCTGCAGCTCTTTTGGGTTTAGACATTATGCCATTTTATGGTTTTCTTAACTGAGTAATATGACTGGATTAATTTATCTTTGTGTTGTTTAAATAGCTCCACAGTAAAATGACAATAAATATTGCTAATAGCATAACAAAAATGCACTTAGACTGAATCACCAATTACAAAGCAGCAGATCAGAGTCTGAAAAAGCACTCCGTTCAGCAGCAACGTTTTATTGAAGAATCTACATTGCTGTTTATTTGCATCTCATGTCTGGTTCTCTAAAAAGTGACCAGGTGATTAGAAAATCATGACTGAATAGAACAAGTAACTACTACAACTACTACTAAGGTATTCATACTGTCAAATGACAAACAGTGTTAAAGTACAAATGCTGTAAAAAAAAAAAAAAAACTATATCAATATAGCAATGAGGTGTGTGTGAGATAGATCATGCTATTTGCTTCAGCCAATGGCAGCATGGAGTGTAAGTTTAGCAAACATTACTCCACTTTATTACAAGTTACAGCAAAACAAAGCCTGAATGTACATCAGAGGACATATGTTGAAAAACACAGTACAACATTCAATCATGGACAGTAGATATAAAAATTCTATACACCTCTTTGGTTTTGCAACGTAAAAAAAGAAATACATAAAATTAGAACTTTTTTACAACCTATGCAATGCTAGGTCTGGGCGATATGGCCCAAAAAAATTATCACGATCATTTTTTTATATCAGTCGATATCGATAATTATCACGATAAATGTCAAATCTTTATTTCTTTCAAGTTTAAAGGCAGATTTTTGCTACTAAGTGAAGTGAATAAACCAGAGCATTAATTGTGGTTTTAAACTATTGTCAGAAAATATGACAAACACTTGCCAAACACAAGAACATTTGCCAAATCTGAGTTAGAACATTCAAACGTGTCATTTTCCCTTAACAAAATAAATATCTTAATCGAAAAAAAATTCTTAGTCTCTGCATGTTCTATTTTTTATTTGGTAAAATATAATATTCAGACTGTTTGAGTTTTATTAAAACCAACCATTGGTCATCCAGCATCTTGCATTTAGATCATGATAACCACAGATAAAACCGGGCATAGCCTATAGCACCTCACTATCATGGCAATGTGTTACTTAATGGTTTCTATGGTATTTGTATGAAAACCTGTAGCCTATACATTAAATAAGGTTATTATATTCCATTAGTCCTTGCATTGTCTACATTAATAATATAATACAATTCAATATGTATATCCCAAATTTCAAAGCGCAGTTATTAGTAGGCTAACGTTACAGTAAATCCGTGGTAAATGATGGGATTTGTAAATGGAAAAGCCTTCAGACTGTATCATTGCACACAGTGTTTCTCCTGTTCGTCAGCGCCGTTTCATCTGCCTTTAAAATGGTTTAAATCACAGGGACATGTGTGTTCTTCGCTGAATTCAAGCGCTTCTCACTGGATCTCGTGACCGAGGCCATTCAGAGTAAACGCATCTGCCCAAGTGAGCTCGCGCTCGCGCTGCTGTTTGGACTTTGAGCCGAGCTAAAACAGTCCGTGAGGTGCACGTGGTTCAAATGAGTTTCGTTATGCTTTTGGCACATAAACATTATCTAACATTTATAAAACTCTTGATATCGTTTTGTCTAAAAAAATTATATTGCGTTAACTATTATTATCGTTTTAATCGCACAGAATTACCTAATCACGCTCACATGTAATGGTATACGCCAAGTAGAGAAATCATGGCTAGGACTAGGTATCGTTAATTTTTTCCCCATTTCGATACCTTGACTTCGATACTGGTTCCTGAACGATACTTATTTCTATAGCAACAAGATTACATTACATATCACCTAAAACTTATTTTTTTTTTAAATTCAGTTTGTTGACTTTTTTTATAGACTCATATAGGCCACTGGGGGCAGAATATATGTCTCGAGCTCAAGCGCACACATAAAGCTTGCTGCAAAGCACTGGCAAAAATTAGCTTTGATTATGAATGTGTTGGGGAAAAATAGCAAGGAGACATTTTAATTGTTTTTTAATAACCTAGTGTTTTCGGAGTCAGTGTTGACAATAAAGAAGATACGTTGAATTTCGTTTAATTTTTGACGCGTTCCGGTTCCTCTTGCAGTCGAAGATGGAGCAACTTTCTGCTTTTAAGTTTACTTTGTGCACTGTCAAGTGCTTCATTAGGTTTGTCATGTTGCTGGTCTTGATAGTAATTATCTTGTCGCAAATATTGCATTTAGTCGCAAATATTGCAGTTAGTGATTCCAAGTTTATTTGCTATGTGTCACTGGCTTTCAGTGCATTGCATAACCCAATAATGTCTTTATAGAGATGCTTTAAGTCTTTCTAGATGTAATACATAAACAATAATGAACTAAAGAACTACACAGTTGTAAGGTTTATGCTTTGGTTCTAGTTTCATTGAGTTTTTAGTTAGATATTTCTAGGTCCTTATTTGTTCCCATGGATTCTAATTAGTTCTATACATATTTTTAGTTCATTTATATTGTCAACCTCATAAGCTCTTTGTTCTCCCCAGGTCTTTGTCTTGCGATAATGTGACGAAACAAAACATTGTATGTTTGTTTTGTGTTTGATCTTCATTGTTCCTGTTCTGTGAGTATTTTTGGATGTAAATTCAAGACTTCTAAATTGAAGACAATTTCGTCGGGTTTACTGATGAGCATTTCTTGACAATAGCTAAAATTAATAAAATTTAAAAAAAAATATTGTAGAATAAACAAGTTATGACAACCATTTGAATCACTATGTCTCAAACATAATTATAAAACGTATAATTACAATAACTGACAACAGAAACTTACATTTTATTTTTGTGCATAAATCTTAAAATGTTTTTCTTGGTTAAAGTGACTGAAAATAATGGAACATGTCAATCACAAAAATTAATGAAACTGTTGTTTCACTCATGTTGTTTCATTGTACTCACAATGTAGCTTAATTAGCCTACTTTTAATGCAATAGCTTATTTTACATAAATCTATTAATATCCTTTGTTCTCAAATTTACTGCACTGAAATAATTATTAGATTATAAACATTCTTTCACTTATACATTGTGCTGGTATTATCTTATGAATTACATGATTACATGATTACATCATAAGTTTCAACAATGTGTTCATAATGTAATACATCTTTCATACACATTTGTTATTACATTGGAAAATCGTTTTTACATTGAGCTCAAGATTTTATTACATCTTGTCAAAAATTATTAGAAACATTTTATTATACTAATAATGTAATACCCATTACATCATGTGTAGCTATTACATTATGCTTTGTTGTGACTTTGAGTTGCTACACAGCTTCTACATAAAACACATCACTATCCCGATGTTACTCAATGCTAATTTTACTGTTAGCTAAGAGCTCCTGTAATCTTAAATCTGGAATAAGGGTCAGTTACATTGTGAACAGTGTGTGTGTGTGTGAACTTACAGTGTTTAATGCGTTAAGTGTAGTGTCGTCTCGTGAGGCGGCGAGGCAGCCGTCTTCTGTTGACCCCCCATCACACATCCCTGCAAATGCTGCCATGCTCCTGACAACCAGAAAAAGGGAATATTGATGTCCAAGATAACAACACCACATTGTATAACACAACTAAAATCCGGGGAGAAGGTAGGGCTTACCTGGCTGCCCGCAGGTACATGAGCAGGTCACAGTCGTTGACCCCAGGCATCCAAACCAGCTCCTCATTCTCTGTCACTGCCTGACCTCCAGGAGAGGGAAAGGGCTGGAGTTCTGGCAGCTTGGCCTAATTTGGCAAAGCGCAGAGGGGACAGACAGCTGTGGTCACAACACAAATAGCACTAGTGGTGAGTGCTAAATATCAGTTTTCAAAATCATTTAATCTCTGTATGCGTCGCACCGATGGAGGGGAGCGAACAATCACTGGTTCGCTTGAATCAAAGAGGCAACTAAACATTTAGTTTCCCATTGTGTGTATAAATATTGTGTTTATACTTTTGAATGTGATATTGACACAAGACTTAGGTGGTTACCAGGGTGCTGCTATGCAGCTTGTAAGAGTGTTTTTAGTTTGTTATTAAGGAGGTTGTGGGAGGCCTAATGCCAAGGTATAAGCAAGCATAATTAATAGATATACACTACCATTTTGTTTGGGGTCGGTAAGAATTTTTTTATGTTTTTGAAAGAGGTCTTTTATGTTCACAAAGGCTGCAATCATTTAATTACCAAATACAGTAAAAAAAAAAAAAAACTATAATATTGTGACATTACTATATAAAATAACTTTTTCTATGTTGTCGCATAAACCTTCAGAAATTCTAATATGCTGATTTGAGGATTATCATCAACAGCACTCTTTATTTGAAATAGAAATCATTTGCAACATTATAAAATAATTTTTAAGAATATATATATATATATAAATCCTATCTGAAGACCAATTTAATGCATCCTTGCTAAATAAAAGTATTTTCTTTGAAAAAAAAGTAACTGACACTAAACTTCTGAACGCTAGTGTATATTATTCGCACAGGGAAAAATAAAAAAACATGGCGAAAATATAGTGTCCTGAAATCCTCGACTAAATCCCTTCAGTAGAATGTTGCCAGAGTTAAATACAAAAATCATGTGCTCAAATAAATCTTAGAGCAAACCACAAAAGTAATTTCCTAAGTTATATCTAGCATTTAGATCCGGCCCGTGTTGGATCAATATCCATGGTGCGCTAGCCTGTAATAGCTGGCTTTGTAGAGCTTTATTACCGAACTTCATTTAAAGTCATTTGAAGTAACCCTGGGCAGAGGTCCTGCCACTGGTTCCACTCCACATGATAACTCGAATGAATCTCTGGGAAAATATACACTATAAAACCTCTGACATTAATTGCCCGTGGTACTCTGTCTTTTTCATCGTGTGCCATCTTCTTTAGCGATCTTCCTTTTGGCTTTTCAATTTCAGACCACTGTGACCGTTCCTAATTCCCATAAAACACAGTTGAATGTTTCTAATAAATCCCACATACACAGAGCCAATTTCCAAACACACTATTCCATATGAGTGTTGCACTGCATGAAAAATCCATTAAGTATTTTCTTGAATGCGCTATGAGGACATGTTCAAGTTAAGTATGCAGGTGACAGAAGACCAGTAGTAATATAATTGAGCTTGTCAATCAAGCCACTGCTTAATATGAGCTTTGGAAATCTTTGTTCAATCTACACAACACGCAATGTCAGGGAAGACAAGGTTTCAGATAACATCCTAAGAATTTGTAAAGAAACATACCTGGTGACTGGGACCGACTCGAATCTCCCCTTGTGTACTGTTTAATCGCCTGAGAGAAAAGGAGAGAGAATGAAAAAAAATAAATAAATTGGTTGTGTGGTTTATGAAATGTCATACACTGTGTTTAGCTATTTTTAATAAGTGTCGTATAGGAAATTGTGCTTCATACAATGGAGATTGACATCTGAAGTTAGTACTCAAATTGTATTAGCATTAAAAGCCCAGATTGTTAACCTTCAGGCTATAACAGCCTTTTAGCAGCTTTCTTTACAAGTTTTTACCTCTCCAAAAACCTTTTCAATGCTCTGATGGTGCTTTTAATGTATTACATGGCTTTAGCAGCACATTAAAATACATCACATTAATGCAAGATTCACATTACTGCACAACAGAGGCTAAGAGGAAATGGTGTGGATTTAAATCTATAGACCAAACAAAGGCGGCGAACAGCGCAGTTGACGTTTCTCATTGTTTTTGTGGAGGTACACTACAAAAGCCCCCAAATAACCAGATGATAAGCAAGGGGAGATGAGCCCTGAAATGGCTGCTGTTGCAAACCCATGGCAGTAACCATGGCAACTACAATTTAATAATAGTGTTCCGATCTCCAGCTGCAGTGGATTAAAGAAAATGACAAGATGTTCCTTTTGAAAAGCCTTCCCCGCTCTGTTGCCACGGTAACAGCACTGATTTTCATATAGCAGGCACAGAGCGGGGCCCAGAAACTGTCACTATGATTTGCGTCCAGAGTAGCTCTCACTCCACCGCCGGGCTGACTGCCCGAACCTGGCTGCAAAGTGAGGAGAGGTTAGGGCCTCAAATCATATCCCTCCTTCATCTGGGTACATTTCATAAACAACCCCTCTCTCTCCCTCCAGCATGATCCACTAAAAACACAAGCTCTGTCAATGGAGGAAATTCCACACTGAAGCAAATATGGCAGACAGATGAAGAAAAAACAGACAGGCCTGCATTAAAAGCTTTTCAACATTGAGCTGTTGAACGTTTTAAGAGTCTGATTCTAATGCTCACGGCTCCTATAATGAAAGACAAATCCACATGAAATAAATTGCAAGGCAAGCATTAATGTGCTCTTGTCTGAAACTGAATCTGCTGCGAGATGATGGCGATAGCGGAGGGGAGAAATCACTCGGCCGGGTTCCTAAACATTCTGCAGGCTCTGCATTTTTGGAGGGTCTGAGTTAGGCAGCAAACACACAAGAGTCTTGATCAGCCTTGACAGTGATCTGAGAGCTGCCACGCCACAGTTAAATCGCAAACAGCACGTATTGCAAAGAAAAATCTCTCCAAAATGAGTCAAGAAAATATGAAAAAACAATAGTTTATTTAAAAATGACTATTCACAGGATCACGGTTTATCAAGATTTAAAAACTTGTTAGATTAAGTTTTTCAATTCCATAACTTTAAAATTATAATTATATGCATTCAAACTTTTCCATTCAAATTTTGCCATTATCTGCTAAATGCATGAATTCTATTGTTTAACCCACAGGAATATATTATTTTGAAGTATTGAAAAATACTTCAGAAATATTCATTAAGAAATATTAAAAGTTTGATAGTTATATATATATATATATATATATATATATATATACACACATACACGTGCGTACATTTCATGGAGTTTGTGTGAGTGTGTGTGTGTATGTATGTATATATATATATATATGTGTGTGTGTGTGTGTGTGTGTGTGTGTGTGTGTGTGTGTGTGTATATATATATATATATATATATATATATGTATATGTATGCATGTATGTATATTACACACACACCACGAAATGTGTAAAAAGTTTACTATTAGCACAGGAAAATATTAACTTTCATGATTCATGATTAATACAAAAAATAGAGAATCTGTATTTTAATGATGCACATCCTTTTTGCAGGTATAACTGGGACTTCCGGGCAAGTCTGACATGTCGAATATAAACGTATACACTTTGTAACAAACTATTTTGTAAATTCCTTTTGCACTGGTATTCTGTTGAACTGAAAAAACTCTGACCAGATGAAGTAGTATAGAGTTCATCTGAAGCATAGAGTTAATCTGAAGGGAGTTTAATAAAAGTCTGCTTTAAAAAGTAAAACAGCAACATGTGTGAACACTTATGCAGTGACGCTTCCTGGCTTGACATCCTTTGAATCAAAAAGGTCAGAAAATTGCACTGGAAGGGCAAATGAAAAATATCAGCATGATATTCCTCAGTCATGCCTTAAAACATTTAAGATCAAAACCTCAGATCAATGCATTTTAACTTGGATAGAATAAACAGTTTATAAACTAATGTTTATGAAATAATACAAACATGGAGCAACTCCCAAATACACTTATTATACACTACATCTTTAATTACAACACTATCTCTAGCACATGAAGCGCTGTCAACACACACAACATCCTGCATATTTTGACTCGACCACGAGCACAGCAATCAAGCCTAGCCCCGCCCCCTCCATCAATATCCCCCAATCCCAGCACGACTTAGGGACTCTCACAACACATTGCATAAATAAAGCAAGCGCCTCAACAACTTTATTTACACACCGACTAAAGCCCTTTAAAACAACGGAGGCTTTGCATTATACATTTGAAACTCCATCCTACGCCATGACATTCCGACTGTAGTCACAGCATAGCGTATTGTCAATTCATAATAGGACGATTTTTTATATAATTTTTAAGTCTAAAACCATTAAAGTGGAATATCTTATGTCGGGACAATTCGCACTAGCGTGCGTTCAAACCCGCTTTATTTCACACGCTCATAGCACTAATGATGAAAGCACACAGCGTTGACATTAGCACAGACGGCTAATGCTACTGACAGCAACACAAACAACCGGGCAGCACTGTCAACGCGATTTAAAGCACGGACAGCTATTTTCAAGACAAACACGTATATAGCATTACAACAGGCGCGCGAGGCGGGTACGTCCAGAATGACGCACGCCGATATTTTAACAGGTGAAGACGAGCATGCTAACGTACCTGCGCGGACTGAACAGGTCGTCCATGTCGGAGCCAGAGCTGCGGTTTGATTTGACAGAGTGAGGAATAAAGTGTCCCCTCGCACCTATTTGTGTAGGTACTCAAAATGGAGGCTCAGGCATTCAGTCAGCTTTTACACTGAGCTTGTGCCGTGACCGACAGACAGCACTGAGCATGTGCCGCGACCTCACACACATACGCAGAGGAATCACAGCCCATCTCTCCTGCTCACACACACCATGCTGCTGCTGCATACCAAACAAGCGGGAGGAGGGAGTGGAGAGGGCGATAGACTGTGATTGAGTGGGGGACCCGTGAAGGGGGCTCCCAACCAGCAACAGTACACCAATGCTCCTGTTTATCCGCCACAGCATCTTATAGCCCTCAAATATCCCCTTTCTTCTCCCCGAGCTCCTAATGCACCCCATTATTGGAGCATCACATGACTATGGTAATGGGCCCTAATGTAATCCTGCTTTTTCCCTGACACAACAGCATACAGGCTATGATTGTTATACACAAAGGAATAGGGGATTTAACTATTCATTCCCATTACGGTTGAACATTTAATAGAGAAGCGTGACACAGATTTTTTTTTTGTCAATATCGTATGTTTAAATATAATTATTGCACATCATCTGCAAATAAAAGGATTGTACCCCCCACCCCCTCCATTTCATTTACACTATCCTAATTAAAATTCATTTGCAGATGTGGTTTGGATTTCAAATGCTTAAATAATTGTTGTATGCTTAAATACATCTCAGATTACATCAATTACATTGGTTTTAAATTTGAGGTTCCAAATAGTAAATTTTTATTCTAAAATAAGTAGCCCACAAAAAAGACATAACAGCCATTACAAAAGACAAGTCATTGTCCTTTAAAACACTGTAACGCGAGTGCACCACACAGAGACAAGGCCGTAAAATAGGCAATGGACATTCTTTGAGCAAAACCGGGATTGCTATGGTAAGTAATAAACTGTGAGAGGTGTATTAGTTCCATTATTAATACTAGACTAGCATTTCAAACTCGCAGTGAAAATCATACAAACAAAGATCCATCATACAAAATCCATTTCCTGTCCTTTCAGCTGTATTGGTATTTTAATTCATCATACCATGCACCTGTGAGAAAATGATGTCAAAGAACAAACATAGCGTAAAAACCAACTAACTACTTCTTAAAGCAAGCAAGCAAGCCTAAAAATCAGACTCCAAGAACAACCAAATATTATATTTTAATGCTATTAAATAAATATTATGTTTAAATATATATATATATATATATAAAAAAGCATTTATGAATCTTACATTTATTAATCTTGTATGAATACACAACCATTCAAAATATATTTTTTAAAGAAATAGGATTAAGGATGAAAAAGTGACATTACAGACATTTATAATGTTACAAAATATTTACATTTCAAATAAATGCTGTTCTCTTGAACTTTCTATTCATAAATGTATCATAAAAAGTATCAGTTTCCACAAAAATATTAAGCAGAACAACAGTTTTCAACATTGATAATAATAAATATTACTTAAGCACCAAATTAACACATTAGAATGATTTCTGAAGGATCAAACATTAATCCTGAATTAACTTTGAATTTATGTTCCATTTATGATAGGAAATTAAAGCATGATAAAATTCCCCAAAATGCTGGAGATGGAAAATAAATCTCTACATGCTTGTCAAAGACAGTGTCCTTGATTTAATCTATTCACAACTGCCTTTGTGTATTATAGGACAATTTAGAGTGAATACAACAAAACCAGACACTGCATACCTGATAAGAATCACAAAATCTCTATTTGTAAAATATTGCAACAGAGGATCTGAAGACAGAACATGCCTGAGGATGCCTGATTACTGAAGTCAGTAAAGGCTTACCTGGTTTCTGGGTTATATCCTAAGATGTAGAAGAAAGAGTCGATTCGTGCTTTGAACTCCCTGGCAGCAAATATGTCAGAAAAGTGTGAAATGTTACATTTCCCCCTGCAAAGAAATAGAGCAAACAAATCAGTGTCATGGTGCAAATACATCTCCAGGTTTACTTCAAAGAATAGTTCACTCAAAAATGAATATTTTCCATTATTACTTACTCACCCTTATTTATATTAATATTATATTTATTTATTGAATCCACCCAAATGCTGATCCAAAACTAAATGCTGTTTTTTTCATAATGTTCCTCCTACCTTTGTGTAAATAATAATCATTTATATTTTGGGTTGGTCCTACGCCTTTAAGAGACAGTGTCTGATAGCTGACACGTCTCGTCTAAGCTATTGCTATAGGTTTGTAAGTGCGGGTAATCTTGTGGGTTACAGTATTCCTGTATAGTTGTTTTATTAATGCCCTTTCCCTTCATCCTGTTAGACAAACAAAAGATACCGGACACCACATGATTTTCAAGAAATGCAGAGCGAACAAACTCTATGAATTGTGACATTTTTACAATGCCCCCCTTCTACATTACATTTTTGACATCAGGGGCCATCAAAATAATAGGCATCAGTGTTTTTGCACTGGTTCAATACCTTCCTCATAAGATGAAAGGAACATGAGGTTTGGAGCAGGAATTACGACATGCAAGCGGAATTCACTGAGTTTATCTAAAGCCCTGTAATAAGTCAAATCAAAGGGGTCTCTGTGCAGCAGAAGTTGCAGCTAATTTGCCCTGAAATCAGTGGTTCAGAGCTGTGCGCTGCCTCCAGATGGTTTCAGTTAAGAGAGAGGAAAGGAAAGGAGGGAGGAAGAGAAAGAGAGAGGCGAAAATGCATCACTTGGGTAAAGACGGACTGAAAAGGTCTGGTTTCTTGACAATAAGCATGCCTGTACTCTTTTTCCTGAGCCTCATCGCAAAAAAACGTAATTGCTTTTAGTAATGCTTTGCACGCAGAATCGCTGTGAAATGGTTGTCTGTACTGAGACGGCTACTCCTGTGGTGAACTGAGAGGATCAAAATGTCTGTTTACAGCTCTTAAATACTCAAGTCTTAGATCCCAGAGCATCTGTACATGCCAGAGGTTTCTTTAATGACCATAAATCTGAGCTAGTGCTGGCTCTTAAAAGGAATATTCACAATTTATTGGTGTAATCATTAGACTAGTTTTAGAAGTTGCCAGTATGAGTATGACAGAGTATGAATGCCAGTACAAGACACGTTTAATAATTTACATTTATAAGAAAAATGTATTGATTAAAAACATTTTAGTTTAAAACGCTTTAACTGAATCATTTCAAAACTCAAAGTAGCTACTTGTTTGCACTATCCAAAAAGGCCATATGCAGGATGTTTCATATATTTAGAAATTAAATATAAATATAAAAACTATTATTCTTGTAATTTAAAAGGACATTATGAAGGATTGAAACGAGAGAGAGAGAGAGAGAGAGAGAGAGAGAGAGAGAGAGAGAGAGATCCTTGAGAAGAGAGAGAGAAGAGAATCCTTGCCGTCTTCATTTAGAAGAAAAAGTATTTCACTTCCAGTAAACATTTAGAATCTAATTGACTATTCATAATGGGATATAACAGGTCTTTTTATTGGAAAAAATTAAACGCATAAATATTGATATAATCGTATCAAAAAACGATTATTTTGTTTAGAGATTTTGAAAAGAAATTTTGTTTTCCTCTATTTAGTAAACTCTTATTAGGCAGGTGCTGATACTGCTGTGGGTAAAGTGACTGAATTCCTAACCACAGTTGAATTTAATAGTTTGTGTGTGTGTGTGTGTTACCTGAGGGCAGCAGCATGATAAGTGTCCACATAGTCTGAGATGAAAAGCTCTCTGCTCTTAACCACGGGATCAGTAATAACCAGCTCACGACCAGAGTCTGGAGAAAGAGACAAAAAGCAGACACGGAGCGTGAGAGGCATCCAGACTGCCGCTAATAAAAACGTGCACACATATTAAACACATGCACGAAACAAAAGAAACCAGACAGATTCACATACACAGCTATGCAATATGATAGCTATAGACTTATAGACTATGACAGTGACAGTACAGCAGCTCTTTGAAATAAACAATAAAACTTAATGGGTTTCAATTCATCAACAACAAAAGACAACATTTAATGCAAATGGAAAAGCTAATGAAGCTTTATATTTGCTAAACTTTATATTTATGGCCTTTCAGGCAAATATTTCCAGTGACAAATGTCACAAAGATCCATACAGACAGTGTTTGATGAAAATTTGTCTTCAGATGGTATTATAGCACAAATTACAATGGCCGCCATGTCAGGCTAGTCAATGGTGCAGCAGGTGGCGGCTGCTGCTCTCCAGAAGGCTGGCAGAAATGCAGGCCTTCTTAATGCTTTATTAGAGTGCGGTGTGAATCAAAGTGGCAAAGACCCAGCCAGGCAGACCCCCTCAGCCTGTTATTACTGCCTGATGTGTGTATCAAGCTCAGATTTGCTGCTGATAGTCGGGAGAATGAGAGCTCCAAGGGCACATTACACTGAAAGTTATTTGCACTTCATGGCACCGCTGTCGCTCTTGAGGGAGCGTTACCAGGGAAACAAGGGCAGGAGGGTGGTCTTTTTTTCCGAATCCTCATTTATTTGAGATGCCGTTCTCTATGAAACTTCACAAACCAATAACCAGGGGTGGTTACATAAATGAGAAGGACTCTTCAAACAAAATTCTTTGTGTTTGTTCGACCGTCACACACACATACCGTTCTCATTGTTGCGGTCCTGCACCAGGTGCTGGTAGACGGAGTCAGGTACCTCAGACTGGCGGTAATACCATTTCACATTCATTAACAGATGGTCCCGTTTACTCTGAAAGAGAAAAATAAACATTCCGTAAAATAAACAGATATTGTTCGTTTGTTCACAGCGTCTCAAATTTGGCTCTTGGCGAACGTGAGTCTGTGCCACCACTGGGTTTATAGTTCTAGTCGTTCCGTGCCAAAAGCTCTTGGTGAAACAAAGTCAATTAAAAAGGGATTGAAGGCAATTCATTCTTTAATAAAGGAAATGGCTCCATGTGTGGGAGGGAGGTGAAGAAACATGGATGGGGCATATTTATGTAACAAAAAAAAAAATCTGAGTTAAAAAAAAAAAAAAAAAACGAGGCCAGCTTTGTCTAGCTAAACATCAGTTGCCGCTCCCCTCTTTTCCACAGCTGCACTTTGAACTCTGCCACCCGCTGTCTATCCAAGGGACTGCACACAGTGCCAGTTTGCTTCAGTACCGCATAATGACCAGCAAGTGGCAGCACTGAGTCATGTCCAGACCTCCCAGAGGCACTTCCAAGAGGGGCCAGAGAGGGGGAAGAAAAGGGCAAAGCACTGTTTTTATTCCCTGACATGAAATATTTATTATCCTCTCACACGAAGCCAACTGACCATTCAAATGGTTTAAAAGGACATTAAAGAAACCACAGCTCAGCAGACGCTGGCGACAAGACCCCTAGAGCAGCGGCCAGAAATCACAGTCATCTTTAACATGACTACAGATTACCACATTCCCCACAAAAGGCCGAGTGTGTGTGCCACCGCGCCAGCCTAGTGGAAAAAAAAACATCCAGGGTGGATCAGACAGCCAAGGGTCTTTTTTATTGAAAGCCTGATTCACTTCATGGAGCTCTGGCTTCTAAAAGGGGGTGGGGGGCTGAGATCATTGTAGAGATATTTCAAGACTCCTACCTTTTCTGAGATCATTGGAAAATACTAGGAGAGCAGAAATGAAAATAGAGAAATGTTCAAAAACAGAATTCCATCTTTTCAAATTGCCCACTAAACAAGGTCAAAGTGAAAATTCTTGGCATTGAATAGCATGACTAAGAGTAATCGAAGCTAAATTAAAATGTGTGCTGATGTGGTATTGTTGAGATGGTTAAAACCCAATTTAAATGAGATTAAAGGCGCTCTCTGTAACTGGGCCACTTGTATGTGTCATCAGAGGTGTTGTCAGTGCTTATTACACCGCAGATGGGGAGACAACCTGTGCTCCTCCAGGGTATTTCAGAGCTTTCAGTGCCTTGGTTCAGCTCCTGCATTAACATTAACCCTATAAAACACTGAGTTTTAACATGAATAAACACCGAAGGCTTTGAGAACAAATGCACACTGTTTGATAAGTTATTTGTGCTGTCCAAACAGATCCCTGTGGCCGAATCGTGCAACCTTTCCTGTCGCTCTAGAGCTGGAAATTACTGTTTCATTATCAGACCCTAATTATGTTTGCATGTTACACTGAGCAGATCACTGTGCAGAATCAAATTATCAAGATAAGCACTATGAGGCAGAGAGAGGCAGCCAAACTGAGGCAGCGGTGGGAGCCTATTACAATTACAATGCTGAATTGATTAGTGACATTCCACACAGCATTCTCTTCCTTCCCGGAGTTGCTCCTCATCCGGCTGATCCAAGCACATCTTAAAGCCATCTCTCCAAACACATGACTGAATTAAGCCTGCTCCAGGGGCCTGCCAGCTTACTTATAAACTAGGTCTCAGTCAGTGATTGAGACACTAAAGGAAGAGATTTCCCCTCCATGAGAGGACCGAGGCATACCACAGGAGAACGGAGGGGGTGGTGGTGGTCTGCTCGCTCTCTCCTTCACTCTATATGGCTGTGCTGTTTCCTTTGTCTGTTCATTGAGCTCTAAACCTGGGAGTCTCTATCTACCTAAATGGAGCAAGATGCACAAGAGAAACCCAGATCCAATCCAAACACGCCTATCGTAATGCCCAACACTACATTCATGATATAAGCACGACCTAAAGAGGGCAGAAGAGAGAAGTGAGAAATGTTAGAAGCATGGGGGATGTAGGGTGAGACCAACAGCGCGGCTGGGCAGCACTAATTACAGCACAGCCAGTGTAAGAGTCCAGTGAGAGTGCTATAAGAGGCTGAAGCTGGACTTTATGAGGTCTGGCCAGAGGGGGAACAGAGCAGGGTGGAGTCTACCAGGGGTGTTAAGCAGACTCCACCGGCACGCCAACAGCTGGGCTTTCCACAGGGAGCTACTGTGCTAATAATAACCTGATGTGTGGCACACATCACAGAGAAAAGATGTGTGAGGACTATTCATTAGTGATGTGAGAATTAAAGAGCTGCACACAGAAGCGGGCTCTTGAGCCATGCTTGGACGGAGAGCCGAGGTGGTAATGAGAGGAAAATTACACGAAGTGAATGCTTGCGCACACGCCGTTTGAATTAGTCACGGTTTATTACATGCTCTTGCTGAAGGTACCAACTCGGATCCGACCCCTGTGACCTGACGCTGCGCTTTGGCGGCTGACATTTTGTCTGTTTAGCGTAATCATTAAATATGGCGGCAGCTGCAGCAGTGGTGGCAGGTTTTATCTGCAGCTTGAAGCGGTCACATGGCTACCACATTAACAGGAGAGGGTAAAACAACCACAGCCCAGGCCCTCGCACTCTCTTCTCTCACAACCAACTCGCAGCTAAGCAAAGCCAGACCCTGAAGCTCTCCACCTAGAGCACATTAACAGGAAACGTGTGTTTATTTTCAATTTCAACGTTGTGCTTTTTTGTCATCCGGCACCAGAACTCTCTCTGGTTTTCTTAACCAAACCGAGCTCAGACTGCAGAGGAACCGAAAAAAAGCAGGGATTTTCAAACTTCCTGGGGAAGGTGGTTGTGGAAAATGGCTTTGGCCTGTGATCATGTTGCAGGAAAGGTATGCAAAGAATCCAAATGGCTTGGGTGCAGAAATTCAGGCTCGTTTTCCCGGCATGCATACATGTTGGTGGCATCAAGGAGGACAGATCTATGCTCAACAAAACGTAATATGATTAGTGAGGAGCAGGCAGACAGGAAGGGCACACTCTCTCAAGCATGATGGATGTGCACACAGAGACCGTTTCCGCCCATAAGCTTGCTCTCTCTTTAACTGCCTCTCAGACATAGACCAGACGCAGCTCTCTCAATATACACACACAAGCACTTCCATCTGGACCTCAGCTCACAGCTGTATGTGCCTGAGTGACAAAGAGAGGAAAAACACGTAGTTGTAGGCACCAAAACAGAACTCTGAACAAAAAAGTCCAATGTGAACAAAGACATGTAGCATGCTCTTCCCTTTTTTAATAAATACAGAAAAAGAAGAGTCTCAAGTAGACTCCTTTCGGCTTGAACAGTTGAAGAACAAATGAGCTGCCCTGCCACCGTCAGACTGAAACTAATAATGGTAAACAAGTGCTGATGACATGTTTCTCCCCTGCAAAAGCCTGTGTACAGATTACTCCTCCGCCTGTCTACAAGCACAAATGGAGGGGGGTGGGGGGGGGGGGAGTCACAGCTGTGATGTCAGCACAGTCAGGACCTTTATGCTGCTAAACACCGGGCCCCTCTCTCTCCCTCTGCTGTTTAGATATTAAATCTCGACTCGCTTTGAACAAAGTCTGCCCATCTGTCAGCCACTCTCTATATTGGATTTGATGAGCATTAGGCAGTTCAAAGGGGGAGATTTTTAGTGTAACAAAACCAGGATAAAACTGCACCCCCCAACCTTGTGACACCAATCCACTCATGTGAGTTCTGCTCCAAAACCTGGTGAAGCGATCTAGGTAACATTTTAAGGCATGTTCTCAACACAAAAGCAGACAGCACCATTATGCAACCTTCCTAGATGTCATTTTAGCCTAATTCTAAAAGTTGGTCTCAGAACTAGTGAGCTGCTTCACTGATCACGTTTACATGCAGCCATTAACTCGTTCAAAACCGGGATATTAGCAAAAACCCGGTCGCGAAACGGCCATGTAAACACCGGCAAAAACCCGAATGTGCTCATACCCCGGATTTTAAAAACCAGGATATTATACCTGGGGTACGAATATTTGGTCATGTAAACGTGTATCGGCATATCCCCATAGTGATTTGTGTTCTGCGCATGTTCTATTCGCAAGGAATCTTGGTCTTTTGAGTAGAGAAACTTCTCGGTGCATACAAAAATCCACGTGCAGCTGATGATGTTGTCTTTGGATGCAGGAAGAAGAATCGGAAATGCATCTTAAGGTTGTCCGTACGTCTAGACGCTAACCGCGCGTCGCAGTTTACATCGGGATATTGCAATTCCATGTATACAGGAGAAACTCTCTCTGTTCACGCATGTAAACAGGTTATTCCTAATGTTTCAGAAACCCGAATAGTGACCTTAACCCGACCATAACCCGAAAATTGGCTGCATGTAAACGTAGTCGCTGTCAACCACTTACATTAGAGCTTTCTAACCGAAATGGAACCTCAATAGTAACCGTTTGGAAACAAATCTACATTGGTAGCTTGTCATAGAAAGCATTGCCCAAACAAAGAGCACAAGAATAAAGGTAATGTGACTGGAATGACATTGTACTTTAAAGGGATACTTCACCCAAAAATGAAAATTCTGTCATCATTTACTCACCCTCAAGTTGTTGCAAACCTGTATGAGTTTCTTTTTTTTCTGCTGAACACAAAGGAAGATATTTTGAAGAACGATTGGAACTTTGGCACCAATGACTTTCATAGTATTGATTATTTCCTACTATGGAAGTCAATGGTGCCAAACAACTGTTTGGTTCCAGTCGTTCTTCAAAATATCTTCCTGTGTGTTCAGCAGAAGAAAGAATCTCATACAGGTTTGCAACAACTTGAGGATGAGTAAATTAATTTTCAGAATCTTCATTTTTGGGTGGAGTATCCCTTTAATGTAAACTACTGTTTGGTCAGTACGATTTTTTAATTTTCTTTTGCTCACCAAGGCTGCATTTATTTAACCAAAAAATACAGATTTTTTTTTTTTACAATTTAAAAAGACTGGTTTCTCTT